TTACAGAGGAAAAGCCCGAGGAAAAAGTACCAGAAAACCTACTAGGTTATGAGGTTTGTTGAATTGTCATTGTTATTGAGAAAAAATGGATTTAAAAAAAATTGTAAGGTGATTGGTGCACATTGATTTTTTTAATACTCAGATCCTGTACCCAAACTAAAGTATATGAACAGTTCCGGGTATATGCAGCAATGTTTAAATTCATAAATTTGTAATGCATTAGTTTTAGTCCTAAATTATAAATTCCAATTATAAACTAGAATTATTTTTAAATTCAACTCATTTAGAAGATACAGTTATTTTATGTGTTTTATTTCAGCATGGTCCACCCCACCTTACAAATCTGGTGGTACAAGGACCACCCCCTGTACAGTCTCAGTCTCCCACCCAAGGACAGCTGGTCCAGGCACCGGTCACTCACGTCATCCAGACTGTAACCCCCACACAGGTCATACACGGTCCCCCTCCAGCTCAAATAGTCCAGGGACCACCTCCGGGATACCAAGCACCCCCGCCACATTTCTTACCTGGGCCACCACCACCTGGACAGATCCCAGCCCCCTATCAACTGGGGCCACCTCCAACTGTATCTGAGGCGGTACCTGTGATGTCACAAAGCACCCAGCCACCACTGGGTTCTCCTGTGTATTCTGTTCATACTTCCATTTCAGAGGAGGGCAGGTTTGTTATTTTTAAAAAGCCTGAAAAAAGTATTTGACTTTTGATGTACATTTTCCATAGGAACTATAAATTCAAGGTTTTTAGAGTGCAAGTGCCTCATTGTAATCTCTCCTCTAGCCAATCAACATTCTGTTCATACACTTTTTATGTGCCATGAATTGATAGACAAAAGATTTTATTGTTTTTGACCTGTCTGTCTGTCTGTTGTCAACTTTAACCTTCCCCATAAATTTTGAACCATGAGAGATAGAGACTTCATATTTGGTATGCACAAATTAAGCTCTTTCAAATGACACCAAGGTCAATGACCTTTTGACTTTGACTGTGACCTATATGCTAAAATAGCTTTTTTTGAACTTTTGGCATAACTTTTTAATAGGAGAAAGAGACTTCATATTTGGTATGCATACTCTGCTAATTAAGTTCTTTCAAATGATACCAAAGTCTATGACCTTGTGACCTTGACTGTGACCTATATGCTAAAAATAGCTTTTTAGAACTTTGTTGCTGCCGGGCACAAACTGTTTCACAAACACATCTTGTTTTCCTTTTCTAGCTCTTTTGGGCAAAGAACGGAGAGTTAAGCATTAATATTGTCTTTGTAGCATTTCATCTGTCAATTAACAGTTTTTAAGGAGCAGTGCTCCTCTTATTATGAATTAATGAAAAATTATTGGCATCTTTCAAAAATCTTCTCGCTAACAAATGAGCCTAAAGTAATTGAATCTTGTGTGAAACCATCCTCATGTAGTGTAGTTCCATGTTTGTTCAAATCATGATCACTTAGGAGTAGGGAGTGGTCACAATGGGCTATCAAAGTTTTACATGAGAATACGTAGGAAAAATCTTCAAAATCTCAGAAATCCTATTTCTGGAGCAGCAAAGCTTTAATAGGTCTTATTTATATAAGAGCATTGAGTAGAATCAAGTTTATACAAGTCAAGATTCCTCCCAAGGAGGGGGGTGAGATGGAGTTGAAATGGGCATTCAAAGTTTTACACTTGAACACAAAGGAAATTTTTTTTTTCAAGAACAGCAAAGCCATGATTGATCATATTTATATGGAAGCATCCTCAAACAGTGTAGATTCAATTTTGTTCAAATAATGACTCTGAGGGTGTAGGATGGGGCTCCAATAGAAAATCAAAGTTTACATTGAAATGCATAGAGAAAAAAAATGGCCATAGTTACTCAGGTGAGCTTTGTCTATGGGCCTCTTTTTAAATAAAATTATGCCATTATTTTAGGGTAACCCACACCTACACAGTGCAGTCAAACAGTGGAGGATTGGCCACACCCCCACAGGAGTCAGTTAATGAAGCAGACAAAAAATTGATGCCCCCTCCAGCTCTACCTACAGGTAAATGTCTTCAATATTACCTTATTCAAATGCTTGTGTTTGCATTATTAAAGATTATGTAAAGCAATTAAAAACAAATATTCAAACCAATTTTCTCAACTTTTTTTCTCACCTAAAATTTACATGCCATGTTTACATTTGGAACTCTCCAGTAAATGCACCAAGTTCGAGTTATTGCCCATGTTAATTTTAAACATGGTTAGATAAAATAACTGGTCTCAATTTCTTGGCAAAATAATTAAAAAGGGACAGGCCACCTCATGATATTGCTTATAACGAGGAAAGTTTACATGCACGGGTAATTAGCTTGTAGAATAAACAGGTTTCTTAAATGACCAGTGCTTACAGACACCTGTTCACTTGGCTAGCGGTTCACCGAGTTAAAAATAGACACCAGCTTCAGCAAAATTTGTGTTTACATTTCAATTTATTTTTAAGAAAAATATTTTTGCAAACGCAATGCTTGCACAAAATTGCTAAAAGTTTATCTACAGTGAAAATTTCCAGATTTACAGTATTTCAAACTGGTATGAAAACATGCCATTCAGTGTAGATTCCTTATGTTCAGCTCTAGGTAATTCAAAAAATTTATAATTGAAGAAAAATAGAAATTTTGTATACATGTATATTGATGAGTGGAGAATTTTTAAAATGATTTAAGAATTTAAAAAAAAAAAAAAATAATAATAAAATGAAAATCCATTTGTGAATGCACTTGTAACTGTAATATTGAATAATTTTTTAGGAGTCAAACGATCTGCATCAGACAATTTGACAGAGTCACCAGAGAGGAAGAGCAAGAAAGGTAATTACAGGAAATCCACACCATTTTGATTGAAAATTATACCTTCAGCTTGGAATTTCCTTCAACTTTTAGACACTAATGGTAAACTTTTTTATCCCATTTTAACAGATAGTGATGATGAGGATGAAGAAGTTAAGTCATCAATGAGACAGCAACACAAGGAGGCCAAAAAGTACCAGTATAACCAGTACTCCAGCACTCCACAGCTGTACGGTCAACCCCCACCACCAGAACAACTCACACCCCCTGTACAGTACAGAGGGGACACCTCTCCAGGGCACCAGTTTGAACAGGTGCAGCAGCCACCCCCACAGTTCTTACCCCCAGGACAAGTGGTGCCACTTCCTCAGCCAACAGAGACATCCCCAGGGTCAGAAAATCTTGGTCAACCTGGACTTCAACAACAGATCATCATACAGCCACCCCCTCAGTTACCAGGCCATCCACCGTCCCCTGCCTTCCAACAGCCAGTGTACCCTTCCGCTGGTTCCCATAGCCCCACCCCTCCCCCTCCCTGGAACACAGAACCGCCTCCAGTGTCTGGCCCCAGCCCTGGGCCGGCACAGCCATTGCTCCCGCAACAGATTACACTGAGTGCTCCCCACAGAGTGAACCCCCCAGAACAGAGACTCATGCATGAAGAACATAGGATATATGGTGAAGCAATACCTCCCCCTCCTCCTAATTTCCAGGCAGGACCACCCCCTCCAGGGTCCACTCCTCAATTAATTGTCCCCCCTCATCTCCCTCCTCCAACACAAACAATAGTGTCAATACCACAGTTCAATGGACAGCCCCCTCCTTTCCCTGGCCAGCCTCCTCCACAAGGAGGATACCAGTACCCCTCTGGACCCCCACTTACCATGTCCTATTGGTGATTCAGTGTCCCTCTTATAAGATATGGCTGGATGAATGGCAGTAAGGTCATACAACTTGTCAACACATTAGGCTGAAAGTTCTTTTAATGTGTATTTTAAATCAAGAACAATGAACTGTTAGTTGAAGACTGTTAGATTATAGCATGGTATTACAATGTGAAAGATGTATTATGTCATTTTTTTTTTTGAATGACCAATAATTTTGTAAAATTGTTATGTTTCAGTGCTTTGCATTAGCGAATGATTTGTCATTAAAATGACAAGTGAAAAACTTGTTACTTTTTAATGAAATACATGTAGTTTATATCTTTTATCTGCACTAAATATCAAGCTCAAAGAAGGATTCTTGTCTGGTTTCTGACTGAATGAAATATTCAAATTATATGCTTAAATGTCTTTTATGAATAGTTGTTAAGATGTTAAAGATAATTTTTTTCCCTTCTCATAATTGTACAAATAGAAATGGTAAACCAAGTTTGAAATCTAGAAGGGACTATATTTTTAGTGGAAAGGTGGCATAAAAAGTATCTTTTCTTCATCTGAAAATTATTACTAAAAAAGGAATTCAATTACTTTTTATAAACAATAACTGATGCATAACTTGTTTTGGATTTTGTTAATCCGACTAAAAATTCAGAACATGAGTTTATCAGTCTTTAGAGATGACTATAAAGGGTTGGGAGGTGGATGAATTATACAGGTTGAATATTAAATGGGTCTTGAACTAGGAAGTGAAAGGTAGTTGATTGACCAATGCTGGAAATTGGAGAAATTCTCCCCAACAGTGTGCAGGAAATCTTGCGCTGTAAATTGATCTTTTTTTTGCATTACAGGATCTGTAGCGTTATGGTCAAAGACTAATATATAAAACCATAGCGCTACAGTTCTGCAGCTAATCCCATTTGATAAACCCTAATTGAAAAGGTATCATTTGGTTGGCAAACACAATTTTTGATTGAAAAGTTATGTACTTGACCTATCCTTTCCTAAAACAGGTTAATAGTTAATTGTTAACCTTTACTTAGTGATATTGACTTTTTGTCAAACTGTGAAAATTTCATTCAAGTACGAAAAAGGTGAAAATTAATTAAACAGTTTTACAAGGAAGTCTGCATATTGGGGTACACTGTACTTTACATGCATGATGGTATGTGGTATGCTAGCTGTCTAGCGTAATTATTTGTCTTAATTGTACTTTTATTCGTTAAATCAAAATATCAATTGGGACTGAATTTTATGAAATAGTATTACTGTCTAATACAATGAAGAAAAATGAAATATGTATATACGAATGGTTTATTGATTAACCTTGATGTCTATACTCATGGAAATGAATAAGCTTATTTCTTATCAGTTTATCAAGAATAAACAAATGTTCGTCCATTTCCTCTGGAATATGTTTCCGAATATAATCTGCCAACTTGGTAATATATTCGGAGTTAGGTCCGGCGCTTCCATGCGCGTGCACTACCGTGTCAGCGATATACTGTAAGTCTTTTTCCTCGTCTCCCGCTGAGGGCCCTGTGTACAATGGGTTCTTCTCTGTTGCTTGATACAATAAAACGTCACAAGGATAGTTAGAATTTTTGCTGTAGAATTTAGTGGTAACTGTCACATAACTTCCAAGAATTTTTTCTCTCACACTTAATTTCTCCAGCACTTCTGTCACTTTTTTAGCCCCCTTCACGGTAAACTTCACTCCCCACAGGCATTTCTGAAAAATACGCAGATCTGTGAATACTGATTGGTGGAGAAGGTAAACAGGTTATTTTTAGACAAACACATGTGCTGCGTAGAATGATGCAATCAATGTTATCTTACCTGATTATCTGCTTTAATTAAGGTAGCAACTCTTCCTGGCTATTAAAATAATAAATAGTTAAAATAAATATATGATAAATTTATTACACACTTGATTAAATCAAAAATACATGCATATAGATATAATTAGTATTCTGTTGATTCTTGTCGCTAAATTCATTTCTCTGATTTGCATTGAAATGAGGAAGTCGTAGACTTATATTTGCGGTTAAAATGTCGAAGTCTGTCTTATCCCTACAAACCATTGCTTAATGAGAAAAAGGTTTATCGATCGGGAAACAATAGTTTAATATTCAAGACTGTCGCCCTACCTTTTCTTTCGTGCCTCTTTGTTCGGTGTTGCTTTGCCAAAATCTTCTCTGATACCCACGAATATATCCATGTTCCTTTGTAGAATATTTAAAATCGGGTTTCCACATAAGGGAGCCATAACCAAAGATGTGAAGTTCGTCCATATTTGTACGATTCGAATTGCGCAGTGTGTGTGTGGTGTTAAACAGTTGCTTGTTCTGGCTTTATATGCGCACACTCCTGTGGCTGACTGGGCGCACGTAACAAGATGATGCAACGCATAATATTTCCCTATTTTTAATTTTCTGCCCGTTTTTCATTGATTGAAAAAAGCTGTCGTTGTGAATGATCTATTTACGGGTCTCTGTTAATTATTTATATTTTCCCCTTATCATGTGCATTGAAATGTGTAAAAAAAAAAAAAAGAAAAGAAAAGAAAAAAAGAAACAATGGGTTCCTCTCTCTTTCCTCTCTTTTTTGTTCCCCACTTTTGCGAAAGCGAGGGGACATATGAAATCTCATTCGTCTGTTAGTCTGTCGGAAAACTTTGATCTTGGTCATAACTTTTGAATGAGAAGAGATAGGGTTTCATACTTAACACATTTTTACATTATGACAAAATTTACCTTTCCAAATATTCTATTGACCTACTTTTCAAAAATTTTAACATAACTTTTGAAAGTGAAAAGATAGGACTAGTTTAATTCATATTACACATGTACATGTTTTTTACCTGTGACAAGAATCTTCGATTCAAATCATATGATTTTTACCCCGTGACCTTGAAGTTTGACCTTCTTTTCAAAAATGCTATCTTTCTTTGTAACTTTTGATTAATTGAGAAGAGATAGGACTTTTATATTTGACATGAACCCTGACATGATGTTTCCGAGCATGCTGTGATTGTTACCCACTTGACCTTAATTTTCAATTTTTACTTAATTTTCATAACTTTGGTGATTATTTTAGAATCGCATATGATAGGGCGTTCATATTTGACACAATATGCCATAAATAATGGTATCCCATCCACGTAGACACTGACAACGTAGGACCAGAATTCTTTGAATAAGTTTGTTTATTTGTAAATAAAATAATAAAACACACACACACACCGCACGGTGCATTTTCCAGCCGTTTTTATAAGAGATCAATACAAACTTCATGGACATATACTTTTATCTTTTCTTGTGTATGCTTATGGCAGGAAGTTACGTTTCCTGTCAACATAAAATGATTGCATCATTTTATCGAATCTTCTATGTTCATCAGCGTATCCAAGAAACCATCCCCGTACTAGGAGGAGAGCTGGAATTACCCTCAAGGCTACTAACAACCGAACAAAGAACACTCAAACACGACACGTTTATCTATTCACTATAGGCGTCGGAACCGGGGGGGACCCCCCTTTTTTTTAAATATATACATAATATAAGCATTGAAAATTGGGGCTTACCTTTTTTCGTTGGTTTAATTAGCCCCCCCCCCCTTTCAATTTGCTTCCGACGCCTATGTATATAGTGTATTTGTAAATGTTAATTAAATTTACTCTCTCTGTATATAATCAGTTCTTGGAGTAATTTGAACTAATTTAAGCTTTCATTTTTTAACAACTTTATTTGTCTCCCTTTGATCCTATGATTATAGATTAAAGTTCAAGTGCTAATGTAGTAGTTTATTTGCTCTCGATATACATGTATTCCAAGTGTTTATTAGTATCAGTTGTTTAAATTAACTTGAATGCTAATTGATACAAACTTGTATCTCACCGCCGTGTCTTTATCATATTGTGCATTCGGGCAAAATGGACGTCCTCACCAACTCAAACACAAATAAAGACAGGGGAAAGTGAGATTTTAAAAATGCCACCTGATAAAACAGATCAGTTAACTGTTTTAAATGAGGAGGCTCTTTTTTCATGTTGACATAAATTTCACAAATATAATTAACCCCCCTCCTCCCCCCCCCCCCCCCAAACTCTGCTTCTTCTTTCAGATTTATGACAGAAGTTCGGGTGAGCAGAGTGGCCTGTCAGTCCTGTTTGTGTTTCCTAGGATCTACTAGACACAGGTTCGGGTGTTTGTGTCGATATCGTAGGTAAATAAAATATTCAGGCCAAGGATAATCGGCTTTTCACAAATTGCGCATTAAGGAATTTTGCGTTGTTCATGTCAGCATTTTAGCTACCCAAATAATTGTATTGAAAGAAAACAAATTTTAAGAATAAATAACGCATTGGTTTTTTTGTTGTTGTTTTTTTGCTCACAGATCAGCGATATTTTAATAAGTTTATATTTAATTGGGTAACTTGAATAATGTTTGTTCGGTAAGAGGAAAATATTTGCAAGATTTAGTCACAATATCAATAATATGTGCAAAATCTTTTAAGAGTTAGCCTATAGGGTTTACAAACGACACAATGTCGCATATACGAGTACCGAATTTTTTTTGATATTTAAGGAGCTTACTATATTTCATTACGAAATTAGTCAAAAATTGTTATACAACCCATTCATCAAATTTTTATGCCCCTTTAATCGGAGATTCGTGGCTATATAGTTTTTGTCCTCTCCGTCCGTCTGTATGTCTGAAATTAATCTGTTTGTTCGCAAAAACTTTTACCTTGGCCATAACTTTTGATTAGTTAAAGTTATGGCGCTCTAATATTTCATTTATGAATACCTTTCATAGGGTATGTATATATCTGATTGGAAAATTATCTATATTTGAGCTCTTGACCTTGAATGTTGGTCAACTTTTGCAAAAAAATTACCCGATTTTAACTATGACCATAACTTTTGAACAAATGGTGCTACTGCTAGGGCTTTCATACTTTACATGTGTATTCAAAACAAGACCCTTCCTTCTGTATAAATATTTACTTTTTGACCTTGTGACCCTTTAACTTAGTTAACCTTGACCTTATCTTTTGAACAAGTAGTGTTAGAACTTATATATTTCACAGGTGTATTCCTTGTGACTAAATCTTCCTTTGGATAGCAACATAATTGATTTTTTGACCTTGGCATTTCGCCTTTTTTTTTTTTTTAAATAAAACCTTAATTCTTGGCCATAACTTTTGACCAGTTCGTACTAGGGCTTTCATATTTCTTGTGACATTTCTTTTCCCTAGATTGATTTTGACCTGTTGGTCCTGGAGTCCGTCCCAATTTTTAAAAACATTTATTCTGGCCATCACTATTTAAGTGTTGGTTCTTGGGCTTACAGTTTTCAGAATGATCATTGCAACTGATACAAATTCTTTCTTTTGAAAACATTTTTGATCTCTTGAGCTTGACCTCAGAGTCAAATAAATAGAAATAAAACAAGTTTAATGCAAAACAATTTATTTGGTAAAATGTTGACATATGCCACAGAATACTTGTGATGGAAATTAAAGAGGTGAACATCAGAGCTCAGAACTGAAAAAAATAAAAACATACTATATGCCTCCTTACACAAAGTTTGTGAAGCACAATTAAGTTATTTACAATAGTTACTGAGAAAATAAAAACAAATCTACATTTGGCTTTGTAATTAAGGTTTGACTTTTGTGAAAGCTTGATGAGTAATGAAAAAATCTCCACAACTAACCAACACATTAACAAAGAAAGGAAACAAAGGGGGAGGAGCGTAGTGAAAGTTTAACTGTTGTAAATGGACATCACATGACACAAACCATGGGTCACTCTAACTTCAGGCCTTTGAGATTAATAACCTGGTTAGATAAAAACAACTTGCACAAGGCGATAACAAAAATATCACATTCATATCAATATCTTCTTTGTAAAGGAATAATAGTTATGTATTCATGCATATTCATTATCCTCAATACATAACTGTGCTCATGTAAATTAATAAAAACAAATGTAAAATAACAAACATAAATATTAAAATGCAATTAGTTATGGACGGATACTACATTTAAAATCACAACTTTCTATCAGAGAAAACCTGTGGTGGGCGCTGTATGTAGGGAGGATAAATGAGTTAATCTACAGTGCATTGTCAGACCAGCAGACAAATTGGTGTTTGATTTATAACCATTAATATAACAGTCATCACCATGCATAATATTATCACAGTGTTTTGTCAAATAATACTGAGAATCTATAAGTTGACGCACCAAAATAAATTTTTTCTACATAGGTACAACATCAAATTCAACTAAAAGAGCATGTGAATGTCAATAAGAAAATATTACAATTTGTATGAATGAATGAAAGCTTAATTCATCTTTTATTTTTCCTACTAAAAATCAAACCTTTTCAAGCTAGAGCACTTGAAACAAGTTTTAAATTTCACTGCAGGTTTTTGAATGGTTTTGAAAATAAACAAAAAAAATCACCTTTTATTTGAATATTATTTTTAAGAGTGAATTTATGATCAATTGTAAAAAAATATTTATTATGATCCATTGGAAAAATAAAAGGATTTGTCAAGTACATTTGTATTTTTGGTGCCGATAATTGCATAATGACATTTAAAATTTGTATGGAGATCATTATTCAAAGGGAGTTAAGAGGTACATGTACAAGAATCATAACTTCATTAGACACAATCATACCTTTACAATCTGTTAGCTTTATTCACATCAAAGTAAAGAAATTTATCTACAAATATTGTAAAGTACATTTACGCAGCTTGACTTGCATCAAAGATACACAAGTGTAAGTATATTCTGTGCAGTCTGACATACACGTCACAGCCATTTTTTATAACTATCATGTCTCCAAATTTACAGAGCAAAATAATAAAAAAAAAAATCATGAACCATTATCAAGGGAAAACATGCTGGTATCCACATTGTTTGTTCTTTATGTTAAAATTATTTGTGAATAAAGCCACCTAAAATTCAACTTCCATAAAATAAAAGATATACATTTTTATACAGGTAAATATTATTCAAATTTTCTACACTAAAAACCTTTGACTTTTCTTGCGGATTGAAATATAATGCTGCATAAAATAAAAGAACATTCATAAAATCCATCTCTGTAAGGGAAAATCAATATTTCCCCCCATAAATCCTTATAATAATACACACATTCTTTCCTTCTGACTCAAATACCCAAATTATTTTTTTTTAGTCTCATCACAAACACAAACAAAGCAGTCACAAAAACCAATGTCCTCCTTTAATCATGGAGACACTTAATGACAAAACAATACTAAAAAGAACAGGTCAATATTAGCA